TAGTTACTTTTATACTTTGTTATCCTCATTATAACCTCAAAATTATTTTCAATAAATATTACGAAATTTCAACACTCATGTGAAGTACTAGCTTCAAACATGTTGTCGGACAAAACTAATGGGCACGTCGGACTCTCTAAACATGTCAAATATATGGAAAAAACAAATTTATTACCACACAGCAGTTTTTAACACAATTCATCATAAAAATTGTTAAAAATTATGGTAACCTTGTCGGACAATTTTCACGGGGCATGTGCGCAGTCGGACGCGCCAAAGATGTCAATTTTATGAAACATTTTTATTTATTATTATATTTTTATTTATTATTATTTTATTTATTGTTTGCATGTGTAATGCATATTAAATCATTTGTCCGACAAAAACAATGGGGCATATGGATACAATTAAAAAAAAAGCAATTTTTTTTTGGAAATCTACTTGGAGGTTCGCTTCTAGCCGGCTAAGATAAGAAACGCTGTTGATTCATGCCAGTGCTGTACAGCTAAAATGTTTATTATTTTACGAAGTATAATTAAATCATTATACTGTCAATATGGCCTATTGCCATTTAATTATAAATTATTTTTGTTGCTTAATATGACATGTTAAACATTTTTTATTCACTTATGTACTTTACGACAGCTTTACGTAAATTAAAATTGTCCTTTTTCTGTTCTTCATTAATCTATATTTGACTAAAGAAATAAATGATGCGCAAATGTCTGGTAATATGATATTATTCTTTTAATGTTTGTCAGCAATGAGTTTTTTGGGTGTTTCAACTGACTTTATAAATACAACCTTGTAGCCGCAAAATGAATCACCTCTCTCCAATTTCATTTCGGAGCATTTGCTGCGAGGTATCGTGTAATATATAGAGCACATCTTAGTAGTAAAGTATAGTGGCTTTAATAGTTTTAATAATTTAAAAATGTTAGTGTTTTTTGTGTAAACATTTAAGTGCAAATGACTCTACATATAGAGAAATTGTCGAGAACATAAAAAAATTTTTCTGACAAAACGTGGTTGTCGTGTACGAAATCTTTAAAAGCGCGGCAACATCCTAATCATAAATGGAATGATGTGGAATTGCCACAAAATTGGGATAATGATGAAATAGGATAATAGGAAATAATATGTATTAACTCACATTTACAGTTAAGACCGGTGATATCCAATAAAAATTTATTTTTTTTGTTCGTTTGCCCCCAATATTTTCGTCCGACAATTAGATTTTTTATTTAAAAATGTAATTAATCGTAACCCCCTACTTTTGTGTGAAAAATGATTGTAAAAATAAGGGATACACGAACCATACATGGATTAGCGACATCGATTACGAATAAAAATTCCGTTTTTTTTGTCCGACTATCGATTTGCCCCAATATTTTTGTCAGACAATTTGATTTTTTGGTTTAAAATATAATTACTTACAACCTCCTTTTTTTGTCGGAAAAATTGTTGTAAGTAAAAAAAAAATGTTGTATAAAAATTGACATCTTTGGGGCGTCCGACTGCGCACATGCCCCGTGAAAATTGTCCGACAAGGTTACCATAATTGTTTAAACAGTTTTTATGATGAATTGTGTTAAAAAACTGCTGTGTGGTAATAAATTTGTTTTTTCCATAAATTTGACATGTTTAGAGAGTCCGACGCGCCAAACGGCCCATTACTTTTGTCCGACAACATGTTTTTCGGTGTTTTTTTAATAAAAACTATTGATTAGAAAAAATGACCAATGTGGTCGTAATTTTTTTTACATAAAATTAACATGTTCGTGACAGTTTCACAGACAAACGCCCCACTACCATATTGCGCCAGGCTCTAAATTTGTCCGACTCCACCCAAATAACAACTGAAAAAAGTTTGAAGAGTGTGTTCATAAAAAAAAATTTAGACGGGGGCTCACAGACTATTTGTATGTAAAGAATGTTGCGGCATGGTATAATTATACCTTATAATTTTGACTTGGGAACTTTTCCACCTCTTCAGTTACTTCTTTCGAGTGACTTGGACTGATAAACTAAAAATCGATAAAAATTGACTTGGTCAGTTTTTGCAGTATACCCACGATATAGTTAAAATTTAATTATAATAGTTGATAATAGAAATTTTTTGACATAATACAATACAAACAGCACAACATTAAAACCTTCTGTATTTGCCTATACATTTTTTTTTGACCACAATTGAAACAAGCCTCCTATAGCAACTAATATAAGTAATTTTTATGTGTAGAATAACAGTTTACACAAACGAATTAATTTTCACATACTTTCTAGGAAGCTCTACAATCTACATATTTCCTCTAATACTTTTTACCGTCTAATATCTTATACACGAAAAAAGTGCGTTCGGATGTTCTTTCAAATGATAATGAATAACAATGAAACTATTTACATCTAATCAATTATTCTACGCTTGAATACTGCTTGGAGATTACTTGTACTGATTAAATTTCCGGTTAGGGTATTACTAATATAACTTCCACTAATACTACATTATGAAGATATCCGGACAAGGAGTCGTCTAAGGAATGCCGCTGAATTTTCTGCTTCGGAGAATTGGATCTGCGTAGCTTGTAGATAGTTTCCTTAAAATTAACATTGCCATAATTAATGTTTTTTAAATAGCAATAATTTTAGAGTACAAAAATGTTTTCTATTTTTTATATAACACGACACATTTTAGAGTTCTAATGCAATAATAAATGTATAGTCCAATAAACAAAAAATAAAATATAAAATAATTCGTTTTAGAACGAATCCTGGGAAAAATTTAAGTTTTGGCACATAATAATAAACAATCAGAATGCCCACTCTGATTGAAAAAATAAGTACGCGCATCTCGTTCGCGCAGACGGAATCAGCCATGTTTTAAACGGAACCAGTGCTGTTCTGTGACATTTTATCTGGTGTGCATAGAAAAATTAACCTGGTTTAATTTATTTACGCAACTATAGATATACGAGGATATATCGACTATATCTACTTTTTTCTTTTGTTAAATTCTCCCTTACGATCGATTAGTTTTCCACTAATTCCACAGATCTCAATTTGTATAATTTTTCTCATCCTTTGGAGCCATTTATGTCTTTTTTCAGACTATCCTATATATCGGCTGTTACTTAGATATATTTTGTTTTACTTATGTTTTTGTTGTTGTTGCAGTTCAGTTATTTTTAGTTTTTGATTTAATTATTTCTGAAACTCGGTAAAAAATATTCTTACATATTTTAATTATTTTAGTCAAGCCTAGAAAATTATCATAAACTAAAAAATAGTTAACATCGAAAAACACTTCTTTTTGGTAACATTTTGTTTTTAAAATTATTGCGATTTTTTATTTCATTTACACTAATAACTTGTTTTTTTTTTTAAATTTATTTCAATCAACTTGTTTTTTTTTTAACTTCCGCAACAGGTTGGTACAAATAATTCAGTTTTTAGTTTAATAAGACAATGAATGTGTTTTGGGTCGTGTGGTATCACTATTACACGTTTACAGATATTCCCACCACACACTTTAATGATAATTATAATAATAAAGACCTCATATTATAAAAAAATTGGCGCATAGAAAACAACTGATTTTAAATATTTACTGAATCCAAAAATACCATCTTAAAATTTGACATTTAAAAAGTTGAATATATATTTGATAAATGTTCCTTCGCATTGATGCAATGAAATTAAATTTCAAAATGGAACTTAACACGTTTATTCTTCTATAACTGTTGGTGTCGTTTTTTCGTCTTTCTTAAACGGTTGGATCATAATAATGGTTCTCTATTCCGTAAATATTCGTCTTTTTTGTATTCGTAATGTTATGACTTTGTTAAACATGATTAAAAAAAAACCCGCGCCCACAACTCGAGATTAAAAAAGGCTGTCCACAATATGTCTGCAACGTATTCTGCAATTTTTCGGTCACGTGGTTGCTCCATTTCTTTAAAGAACTTATCCCACTGTTCTGTTTTCTTACTAGTGTCTAGACTGATATAAATTTTTTATTGGTGGTTTGTTTTGATATGATTAAACTTTTTTTCTATACTGTCGATGTTCTCCATTTTTCTTTTATTCCTGTCTCGTCGCCTTTTTTGCTCTGTTGTTTTTAGGATACACCAGGAGGTATTCCCTTAACCATTGCATATGAGAATTGATAAGCGTCTTATCGTTGGAGAACCATATTAGGATCGTTTTTGAATTGTGAGAGTGGTGGTTGTGTCGCTGGAATGTCGTGTGAGCAGTTTAAGAGCCGCTTTATCGTCTTGTTGGCGTCTTATTAGAATTCCCAATCTGTCGTGTGAATATCGGTTAAGAAATTGTGTGCATTTTAAGTACCGTGTACTTTCTTTCTTGTGTCGAGTGTGTCGGGGCGATTCTCGTGTCGGAATCGAATGAATGTCGTATGAGAGCTAGATTAATCTTCTTGTTACTTATTATGAATAATTCCATTGTTATTACTTATAGAAGTTGTATTTACTCCAGTGTTAGTTGCCAATTGGTCTTCTTGTAGATATATTTGACAAGTTTGTGTATTTCGACGAGTTTTCCTCATTGGTAACCCTTTTTTAGTTCATGTTATGTTTAGAATTTCGTCCGCAATATTTCCTCTGTGACAGATCTACCTTAATTAACGGTTTTACATTAAAAACTGTATCTTTTGATAGATGTTTTCTAACTTAAGTTTAGTTCATATCTCCATTTTCAATCATCTTTTGAAACATATGTTCTGAATGTTAAAAATTTTGTCTTTTTTATTTTATTTTCAGCTATTTATTTGCCTAGTTTTCAAAATGTGATAAGTTTTTAACCTATAAAGCAATATCATTTAGATTCTACTGATATTTTAGATTTATTTCCCCAAATAGTTATTTTGTAACAAAAAATTAATATTATTATTAGTATTAAAATTATTTAATAGATAAATTGCTAATATATTTGATTATATAATAATTATTGACAATTCCTTATAACTTAATATAAATTTTCAGAGAAAAAGAGACGTGTTTATGATGAATATGGCAAAGACGGTTTACTGAATGGCAACAGTCGCAGCAGAAGTAGACACGAAGACGATTTTGACTTTGGCGGATTTGGATTCTTTACCTTCAGAGACCCAGAGGATGTTTTCAGAGAATTTTTCGGTGCCACAGTTTTCGATCTTCTAGGTAAGTATTTATAACAATAGGTTAATCCAAGTTTTCTTGAAAAAGAAGACAGAAATTAGGCACTGATTATTTCGCTATTATAATCGTAGAGAAACAGAACAACATTTAATAAACTTTACTATTTATTTGGTAAGAACTTTTGTACTTCTATTACAGTTTAAAAAATTTAACGGTTCTATAGCAATCTTCGCTCCTTAGGTGTGTATTGGAGAGATACTTTATGCGCATAGAAATAAATAACCCCAATGCTGTGAGCTGTACATACGACTACATAAACACATTTGGTCAAACACCTTACGAGAAATAAATTCGTTAATCTTGGTGCCTAAAGTAAAAGAAATGTTTGATCAGCATATCTATCTTTTTAGCTTTGTACATCCAGCTTTCCACATAGGTCTACTTCTTCATACTGTCCATCCTGTGTTTAACTTACTGTCTTCCTCGATTTCTTCTTTGTAGATATAATCTCCATTTAATAATTTTGTACTTCCTATTTGTATTTTGTACTATTCCATACTCACCCCATTGTTGTTTGTGTGACTTGTGACTGTCGAACGGACTCGACCTTTCCACAACGCGACCTGAAAGATCTACATTATTGAGGACTTTTTACTTCGCTTATAGTGGCTGACTGATCTAGGTGGATAATTACATTCCTAGTGCTGAGCATAGGTTGAGTCCATTTGATGGTGGAAAGTGGTATACCTTTTTCTGTTGTAAAGTTAATGGACTTCAATGAGGTGACATCAAATGTCCCCTCTATGCCTATGAACACACATAATGCCACTTCTTTTGATGCGATAATCTTTTTGAGATCTCTAACTAGGCAATGCCAAGCGGAGTTTGGCAAATATTCACTTCGTATGTAAGTATTTAGTATTTTTTCTATCCCATGTAGAGGAAAGGAGGTTCGTCTAATAGCTTTATATGCCTTTGGTTTCTCTGGAGGGCGTTTGCCACTCAGGATTAAAGCTGACCCTAACATGTCGCCATTCTTTAATATGTAACCTAAGATAAAAATTATCTTGAATATTTTTGCCATGTGGAGCACCCTAGCACCACTAGCAATAGCTATAAGAAGTATTCACTTCTGTCAGCACTCCCCAAATACCTCGCTATTTTTTAAATTTTCTAATCGTTGTCTCTAGGTTGATATTTTTGGATCTTCTGGGCACATTACTTCGTTATTATTTACAATCATTTTCAGCTCAATATTTTTTATTCCTTTTCCAATTCTAGGAGTTGTCTAGAATAGAATCTTTGTTAATTATAATTTATTAAAGTTAGATATGTATAGATTTTGGATCATAAAACACATTAAATAATTTATATTGATATTTTTAGATCCACACGCAAGAGATAGAAGACGTCACAACAGGCACTCCCACCCGCAAAATGCTCTGAGCAGCACATCCCTTTTCAGTCCCTTCGGTCTACAAATCGGCGGTAATTTCATGGACGATTTCTTTGCACCAGGACCGCATACGGGTGGCTTTACTTCTTTTAGTTCAATAAATACCTCGTTCGGTGGTGCTCCTAGTAATGCAAACGTCAAGAGGACCTCAACTTCTACAAGGTTCGTCAGTGGAAAGAAGATTACTACGAAAAAGTGAGTATAGACTTAATTACAACGAGTAAGGTCCCTTCTATTTCTTTTGTTATTTCTCGAATCTCTATTAGTCCAATTTATTTGGATTTCTCTATACCACGTATATTACACACAGCCTCTCGTGGTAAAATCTACAGCAGGAAGCGAGAATAACAGCAACAAATTGACAACACTGTCAGAACAAGAAGTTAAACTGACAGGTACTGAACCCTGTTGTACTTATTATATCTTCTTGAATAATTCCCATTATGGCAATAAAAATACCTAGATAAAATAAATGTGTATTAAAATACTACTCAGGAATTGGAAGTCCAAGAACTGTTCATATTAAATACATTTGGCAACGCTGCAAATATTGAATACTGTATAATATTACCACACGATCCGCGCAACAAATGGAGTGACAACCTTCCATAGACGTATTAATCCGCCAATGAACAAGCAGAACTGCTTATAAAGATGAAGAAGAGTTATTAATTTATCGTTCAATTTACTATATATTTAGTTTGCGTGATTATATAGAACCGTGATATTTTATCGATATAAGAAAAACATGGATTAAGGTATAATTTGATTCTCTTCCAGAAAATGTGAGCGATCCTTGAAAATTGATTGTGAATTTAAAACGATCCAGTCTCCACATTTGTAATACATAAACATTGTTTTTACCGGTATCCCTTCCATCGATCTTAACCTCAAATTGTTAGTCTTAAAAATTCTTAGTTCATACGTCTAGATACGAGGGAGGTCCCGATAATTACTTAGCCTAAAAAATAAAAATTTTGGAAAATTGGCGATTTATGCAACCCGTCTGAAAAATACGTTTCTGTTCTGCCCCTCGAGTGACTTTTTAACGCTTGGAAATAAAAAGAAGTCGCACGGGGTCAAATCTGGAAAATACGGTGGAAAAGGCAACAGTTCGTAGACCGTTCGAGGTAAACAAACCGATCGAAAATGAGGATCTGCTGTTGAATTTCCTAATAGTTGATTAGTAATATTTATACCTCAGTGATTTGCTCATTTTTTTTTTATTTTTCTTATTTAACCCATTCGCTGCGCCTTTGCAGACATGTGCTCATACTACACGGCATATACGGTTTCATGCGCACCAGGTAAAAAACGTCAATGTGTCGGATACAGGGCGTGCGTATCGAATGGGTTAAATCAGTTGCTGTTGTTCTGAAACATTCCGAGATTTTGATGTAATAGTATGTTTTGTTTTAGGATTTATGAAAACGGAAAAGAAACTGTGCTGTCTTACGAAAACGATGTGCTAAAATCAAAGACTGTGAATGGGGTGTCACAAAGTATAACTTACAGTTAAATTATCAATATGAATAATGATTTTTCCACTTTAGCTAATTGTAGTACTTACACATTTTTCAATAGAATACAATGTGGTCCACTTGGTATAATTGCCCATTGAAGCTCAACGCTAGTATCTTCGTTTAAGCGACAAACGTATTTTCTGATGTCCCAGGGATGATGATTAAAATATTTTTGTGATAAAAAAATAATTGCTCAGTTCTTACAAATAGGCATGAGGTACGACAGGAACAATATTTACTTATATGAGGAGCGGCTAGTGGTTGAGTCAAATGCTCTTTTTAGCTGATAAATGTTTGAAAGTCTGTTTCATTTAAAAGTTGTATTATTAATTGATTTATCTCAATTTGATAAGAAGTTTTAGGACAAACAGTATTTAAAAGACTTACTTCTTCGTTTTAGTTATTTATTTAGTAGAACTTCCAAATCAAGGAATAAAGATATACAATTGATTATATATGTTTCATTGATAATATTGTTGTGTGAGTTCAAGGACTATGTGAAGCACGACGTGATTTAACTAACTTTATTTAACTCAAAACTCACTTAATTACTAATTAACTTTAATTGCCTTCACACTGCTGCATGAAATTGCAAATAATAATAATGATTTCAGGGCACTTGCTGGCTAATATATTGAGACCAAAAAATAGCTGGCTGTGCGATGGTCACATTATCGAAAATTCTGGAATGTCATCTTCGGAGGTATCTAACTCACAACATGAGTTGTGAAAGTGAAATTTCTAACCCACGCGTATTACATTATTTTTTGTTCATTCGTCTCTTGACACATTGGATGCCACTCTAATTTAAATACGCTTAGAGTGATCCCCTTCAAAGTGGCTCACACGAACTATCAATGTGACTAAAACGCTTATATGCAAGGTGGCATTGATGCCCTTATTTTTTCAGTTATTTCGGTATATTTTTTAACATATCTTTGTTTAGTGTGTTAATTTTTACACAATTTCTCTCTTTCTTTCTCTCTCTCTGTGTGTGAGTGTATTAACATTAAACAAATATATGTTAACGGGAAAATTTAAGATAAGATTATATTATCAATGAAACACTGAAGCGTAATTTCAAATGATTCGTTTCATTAAATATTAATTTTGGATCATAGATGATGGATTATCTTTGAACCGAGAATATCAAGCTTGTTCCTTAATTTATGTTCGTAATTTATTTCTTTAAGAGAGGTAACGCATCTTTCCAAAGAAATGTGCCGAACCATTTTTGTTTTCAAAATATTGGTCCTGGTCGTATCTGAGAATTTGAGCAATTTTTTTATTTCAAATAGCATGCAGACCAACACTTAACCAATTATTATATAGAAATGTAATCGTTGTCAAATGGAATTACGTGTTTCTGTAGTTAGTATATGTCAAAATTACGTTACTTTAAAACCAATATCCACTATGTATTTGTGAGAAAGCACTGATACGTCTTAAACTTTGGCTTTGCTGATATTCACTAACAAATTAATCATTAATATTGATATTTTACGTTCACTATGTTTATAATCGGTAAGAGGCTCAATTTCATAACAGTTTGTAGTGTTCGTTCTATTTCAATATCAGCTATCAATATTCTGCGAGATGTGGTGATTAAATAACATGACTGAAGCTCTTAAATATTTTATTTTGATTCATACATTACCTGTTATCGCTCCCCATATATCCTGCGAGCAGTACCAAGTACTGGAGTGATGTACTTGCAAAAAACAAATCATTTTTATAAGTTTGGCCACAAGTGTCAGTAGAAAAAAATATTAGTGTTCCCGCATTAAACATGGCGCCAAAAATTGCTGCTCCCTGATGGAAAGTTAATCTCTGAGGGCAAATCTTAAATATAAAATTCGAGAAAGGTTTTTAAAAAAGAAGTAAAAAATCATAGTTTTGAGAAAAACGAGTTTTTCTCAAAACGCGAAACGATATTGCATTTCGACATCCAATCGACCAGATAATTCGAGATAGTAGAGCCCTGTGGCCGTTTTGACCTTCTCCAGGTAGTCGACGTAGGTATCACACCTTGTATAATCGCAGAAAACGGTGGCCATTAACTTTCCGGTAGATTGTACAGTCTTTGCCTTCTTCGGAGTACGTTCGCCCAAGTGAAGTACACTTTCTGACTATTTCTTGATATCTGGTGTGTACCAGTGGATCCATGTTTCGTCGACGGTCAAGGAACTTCTTCGGACTGCGCTTAAAAACAGCGTCCAACTGCTTCGAGGTGGTCTCAAGGTTGCGCTTGTTGTCCAGAATTAGCAAACGCAGTAACTATCGCACCGACAGCTTTCTCATGCCCAAAATGTAATGCAGGATATGACCAACACGGTCTTTTGAGACGTTTACTATCTCGGTTATATCGTGCCCCTTCAATCAGCGATCTTTCAGTACGAAATCGTGGCAGTCGTAGCCGTTTTCGGGGCATCTGAGCGTGACTCATCAAAACCCGATTTGCGACCACGTTAATGAAATTTTTGACAGTCGCTATCGAAGAAGAAGAATCACTGTACACAGCAAGCAAGCAATTTAGTTGAGCCCAGCCTGAGAGACTTTTTAACCTCTTAAAATTATATTCGGGTGTAACAATTCATTGGACTCTCGCTCTCCCCCCTATAGAGCTCTGATGCGCAGTAGGGCACAATTATTAGCCAAATCCTCTTCTTGTGGGAGACCTGGGTAATAGAACTCCCACATGGTTCCCTAACCGAGTCAAATTTAGGCTAGCGTTAAGCGCTTTATTTCTATTAGCCTCTTGTGAATTGTCACTGCAACTGAAATTGCTTGCTGGGCCTCAAGCTTCCGCTCTGGGCTGCGCCTAATTTGAAGGCTTTGTGCTTAAAGGCACTGTACACAGCATCCAAGCGCTCTTTGATTTATCTGGGCAATTTTTCTTCCAAAAACATTCACCAACCAATATGCTCTTTTTTCATTTTTCTAAAATCCGCGGTCCACTACACGATATTAAATTGGTCTTGCGACAGTGGCGCCATTGCGTGGTAAGTCTAAGTACTTGTCGGGCCGTCATCGTATAATATAACAATAATAATTCGTCAGCAATATTCTGCACATTATCAGGGTTAATTTGTGAGCAGGTGATTTAAAATTCTACTTCTTTAACAGTCAGTCTTGTTATTTAATGACGATAGTCGCCAGACAATATAAATCCTCATGATAATAGTTATATTCAAACTTTAATAATAGTAATAATAAAGAATTAGTAATTCTTGTAACAGTTGAGAACATGAGTAAGTTACAAACTAAAAAACACTACAATAACAAACTTATTAGTCCATGATTGTCAATACGAATGGCTTCCTACTTGATATATAAATGTGTACGCATTTACAATCTTCGTCTTTTTGCATTTTGGTTTGTATATAATATTTGAAGGAAACTCCAAATTGGAGAATTGCCGGAAATATGATTTTGGTGTTTTTGCGAATCGCGTTGGGCATTAAAGAATTTTCGTTGTGTTCATTTTATTTAATTAGTTTAAGCTTTGGACAAGCCTTACTTATTTTTTCAATTTTCCTATGTCCCACAATGTAATCTTTTCGTTCCTTAGGATTAGGCGTTTAGTTATAATACTTTTTTCTGATTATAGGACTGATTATTTTTCTCTCTCTTTTCATAGTTTGAGATATTATTTAAGTCTTCTGATGTACAAAGAAAAACGGAAAGCTGTGCTTTCTATTGTGTTTGTTAAAGCATGGAGTTTATGTTTCGTATTCGAAAAGTGCAAATGGACGGAGATTTATCGGTGAATTTCAGTAAAACTCTATTATAACATTACTACATTGGCTTTCGCAGTGAATTGACTGTAATTGTAATAACTTGAATAATTCGTTAAGAAAATTGTTCAGATCGTGATATTCTATGACAACTCTATCAGCAGAGAGCGAACTGTTAGATCTTTTAAGTATAACAAATATAAGATTGCAAGAAAGAAAAGTAATAGTAAAATAATTATCGTTACATCTCAGATCCGGTGACGTTTTAATAAGGGGTACCAACATGGTGTCCAAAAAATTCAAAGATTTTAAAAACAGCACTGTGCTGCAGGACAGCAAACAAAAATATCTTTTGATACATTGTTTTCTGTGTTTATAGGCCTTGGCCCGGAATTATTTCTTAGTGGAAATGGAAATCTTCGTCTAAATTTTTCTATAAAGTATTGTCTTCCAGTAAGAACAAATTTATTAGCCATTCTTGTGTCCAAAAGGGATGGCGTATGACAAGTGATAAATCACAGAAATAAGTTATGGTGTCACCAGAAATGTCATTCAATAAAATTTAAACTGTAATCTACTAGAAAATAATGGTTAACCCCTATTGTGCCGTCATATTTAAAATTTGGCAACAAAACGATATTAATTGTGTGTTTATTGTGTAATCTATAAAGGGTAAAGGCATGTAACATTTTTTTTACCGAATGAAACTTTCAGTTATACCATTCTGTTTTAGTCATAGAACAAAAACTATTCGGATTTTCTGATTCTACAAAAACAGCTCGGGCCTGCGAATATTTGTTTATAATTACAAATAAGGATTTGCAACAATATATTTATTGACTGTAATTAATAATATTTGTCTTAAGAATGTATAGATTAAGATCTGAACAATTTTTCTTGTAAATTCATCATGTTTATTCTAAATTACTCTTAAATTATATTTTATTATATAGTAAAAATAAGTAAATAAAAAATTACACGCCTAATTGTTTATTAATTTACTTTAATTAGAACATTTCCAAAAAAAAAAACATCACCGAAAAATATTGTTTACGTGAATCTGCAAACATTTGACGGAGAAAAGAAAACTCGCCCCACGTTGGGCACCCGTTTTTTAGCTTAATTTGATAATCATCAAATTGATTTATTTGTTGAAAACAATGAAAGAAAAAGTTGATATCTGAGGTTTATAAATTTCTTGTAGCTTCGAAGAAATACAATAACAAAAGCTAAAAGGGTATTATAAATAAAAACAAAGACAATTTTAATTATGCTAAGTATGGAAAGGCAGATTAACCTCTATGTGGTCAACGGCATAAGGACGTACGAGCCCTAACAACTATGTGTTGGAACAAGCGGTTATTAATTGTAAATATGAAATTAACAACATTTTTTATGATATATGGAATTATTTTTGCAGTTTAAATATATATTTTATATTTATTACTATTTAATTAATTGTTTGACAATCGAAAACTGCTGACAACTAAATATTGGAACATTTTTTTATTTTCCTCACATTTCTTAAATTTTATCAGTCTGACACAAAGAAGGAATGTCTACTGATTCAAAAATTTCGAGAAATTATCATTCATCAGTACCATAAAGGAAAAATAATGAGTGAAAATTCCAGTGAATTGACTGTAGCAACAACTACTGTGTTTAATATTATTAAGAAATATGGTGAACCTGCCAATATTGATGTTTGCGGCCAAAGGTCAGGCTGTCCAAAAACTGTTTCTCAAAGGAGTGTAAAGCATTTTATTAGAATACGAAAGTTCGGAAAAAGAAATACACTACGAGAAGTAACTGCTGGGAAGAATAGAGAAACTAGGATGAATGTTTCCTATCGCAAATATATCCACAAAAGCGGAAGGTATGCTTGATAGGTTCTTCTTTACGATGTAAATTTTCTATTTTTTGATTAATTTGAGCAGGTCAAAGAAAAACCATAGCTGACGGAAACTCGAAACAGGAATCGTTACATTTGGGCTAAATCAAAACTTTCGTGGACCAAACATAACTGGGACAAAATATTTATAGCTACGAAAGCAAATTTGATATTTATGTGGGAGATTATCGAAAACGTGATTCGAGAAGCATTCCATAAGGATTGTCTCAAAAGAACTGTGAAGTTTCCACAGGGCATCAAGGTGTGGGGTTGTATGACGACCAAAGGGTTGAGTCTTTACATTTTATTAGAGGTCACAGTAAACGTAGCCAAATATCAAGATATCCTTGAATATTCGTTTGTATCAAGTGCGGCAAAGTCATATCCGGCAGAACGAAACCTCATGCCATACAGCTAAATCTACCAAAAATGGATGGGATAACATGACATTTGTGATGTGACAAGTTTTGTCACATCCTTCTAGCAGCCCGGATCTTAATCCCATAGAGACACTTTGGCACAAAATAGAACAACGCCTAAGAAATAACCTTCAGCGTACTTTGCCACAACTCCAAGCTAAATTACAAGAAATATTATATAGTTTCACCCCTGAATTATATGAAGGCCTAGTTGATACAATCCCTAATAGAGTTCAGGCTGTTATTCAAGCTAAATTCGACGTTACGCCTTATTCATTTTTACTTTAATTTGTTAAAATCCTCTTGTTCCAATATTTAGTTGTCAACATTTTTTGGTCATCAAACAATTGAATAGTAATCAACATAAAATATATAATTAAACTGTAAAAATAATTCCATATATCATACAAAATGTTGTTAATTTCATATTTACAATTAAAATAAAAGAATTTCGGTAAATTGGCATTATATTCGCAAAATAACAATAACCATGCAAAATACGATCAATCACATGGTCCCGCTCCCTAATCCGCGGCGGGCCTTTAATGCTCGAAAGTTGTTCAGAATCTCCGCGAGGTGGAGCCACCCGAATGTGGTAAATAACTATATGAAGAACAAATCCTTTTTAAATTTTGGGACATAGAATGTGAAGAGCTTGTTCGAACAAGGAAAGACGCACAAAACGATTCAGGAAATGAACAAACCAAACCTAGAAATAATAGGCATAAGCAAAATGCGCTGGCCTGGTTCCGATGAATCATTGGTCATGGATAAAACTATATATTACTCCGGAAATGACACCAGAGATCATTTATGCGGAGTTTGGATAATTATCTCCAGAAGATTCCAAACAGTCGTAAATTTTATTCCCTTTTGGAATAGAATGCTGTTATTACAAATACAGGGTAAGTCAGTGAGCACTAATATAGTGCAGGTGTATGCTCCAACTGCAAATAAATCAGAAGCTGAAATAGAACATTTTTGTGAACAACTTTTACAACACACACCAGGAAGGAAGATATTACAATAATAATGGGCGATTTAAATGCAAAGATAGGAAAAGGCCGAGTGAACAACATAATAGGTGATTATGGTATGGGAAACAAGAAATGCTAGAGGCGACAAATTGGCTCAATTTTGTTAAGAAAACCTGCCGAATATGAACACATGGTTTCGATTACTACTCCCTAGAATCGAGTGCCATAGTCTGAACATTAGTACGCACTCTTATGCGCATCGCCCCGCCTAGAATTTTCTCGTTGGTTCTTGACCTGGAATCTGGAAATCTCTATTTATCGCTCCAACAGCGAATGTAAACATTGACGATTTTCAGGTCAACCAAGCCTCACGGGCTCTCCTCCGAGAGCCCGGAAGTTCCAAATGTAGCTAAGTACATTTTATTACGAAAAACGCTCCCCAGAGACTAGATTTTTTAATTTTTATATCTAGTGTTTGTCAGTAAATATAATGGATTTTAACAAGAACTGTGACCTTGTAAATAAAACGTAAACTTGTGTAGTAAATCGGCATGACTCATAGCTCTTGTTAAAATCCATTACCCCTATTACATTACCACCGAATATTTTATAGAGAGACAATAATTCGATTCGAAAGACCTGATTTGATTGACAGAGTTTAAACTTAATAATTCGTTTAATCTAAAACGACAATTTGTAGTTAGCCGCTTTTGGAACCAGTCCATCGATATGTAAATAGTCACATTTCTACATGGTCCGTAGGTGATTTGTGGATGATCCTTTTTATTTTCAAGAACGTTATTTTGGTTGTCTATACATTCAAGGTTATTTATGGCGCTATCTTTTGAGTAACCGGTAAACTTGATATTAAACTGTTGTAATGATCTTTGAATTATTATTTAATTTCAAAAATAATCAATTAAATAAATATTATTTTTTATTTATAAGATTTTCAGATAATTGGGATAAATTACTTGGGTCACAGAATTTATGTACTCTAAGTTTCCGGTAATTTGATTTAACAGGTTTTTTTTTGATTGGTGTTATAAATTTGCGGATTTTCAAACATCCAATCAAAATGAATGGTTCTGAAAAACATGGCGGAAAAAAGTTCCTTGGAGCAGGAGGTTAAAATTATCCCGCTTTGAAAGTAAATTTTTAGGTTATAATTTTGTAAACTGAAAAGTTGCTTATTTAAATATTCAGTATTAGTATTAATCATAATTGTACTAAAGGTAAGTAACCAACGTACTGTTTTAATCAATTACTAAATTAACAGACGGTCATGAAAAACAAAAAATTATGACAAATCTAAAAAAACTTTTATTTTTTAGATGGCCGGTACAAGCAGTTCCAACGGGCATTTAGAGTGTGAAGACGAAGAAATGAGTATTTATAGGAAAGATTCCAATGCTGTTGTCACATTCAATATAGTTTTTAATGAGAGAAATCTGACTGAACCATGTTTAACATTTAAACCTATTATGTCTCATCAAGTATTTGAAAACGAATGTATATTTGGTTACAGATCTTTGTCCATTAAACTTATTTATATGCATAATTCAGCCAAGTGTTATGTAGATGTGGTCTCCTCAGGAATCATTGAAAAGGATGGTCATAAGCCAGATGATATAATGGAATGTTTAAATCCTTGGTTGCCAGAAAACTACACAACAGATAAAGATGAATTTATTCAATGGATAAATAAAGAGCAACATAATGTGATTTTTGGGAATATCATACACGAACATATTTATAAAGGTGAATTTTTTGAAGATCATTCAGTTGAAGTACAATATACTTATAAAATCACACAGTGTGATATTGCAGATGAGAATTTTAAGAAATTTCATCAGGCATTTGAAACTTATGTAATTTGGTTCATTGATGGTGCAACTTTTATTGATCTCGATGATGAAAAGTGGGAAATATTTTATGCTTATGAAGAAGTTAAGCATCCAAAAACAGGTCAGATGTTGATTACTCCAGTTGGTTTTTGTACTGTATATAAATTTTATTCATACCCAGCAAATATTAGAAGCAGAATTAGCCAATTTTTCATTTTACCAACTCACCAAAAAAGGGGTCTCGGAACAGCTCTCTATCAAGCAGTATTTAAAACATTACAAAGTCTTAGTTCAGTTACTGATATTACAGTTGAGGAACCAACAACTATTTTTCAAAAAATAAGGGATCAAAGTGATTGTCAGTTAGTAAAGGAATCTTTGGAAAAAAATAATCTTAGTATATCAGTTACACATTCAAAAAAGATATTTGCACATCTCAAGGATCTCAAATTTGGAAAAAAGCAGATTCAACGTATTTATGATATTTTATGTGGATGTGAAGCATCATTGGATAAATTTACTTACAATCAATTTTTTAAAAATATTAATAAGAGAATTGAATCAGAAGTAAACAATAGGATGAAAGTAGGGATGAAGAAGATGCGTCTTGTTGTCGATGGTAATGCTACACATGCTTTAGTAGATGAAGAAGCTGTCGCGAAGGCAGAATTTCAAAAATATAAAGAGGATCTTGAGTTGGCAGTTAAGTATGTGAAAAACAAGTTATGAAAAGAAACTTTAGAAGGTTGTGTTTAATTTTAATACATTTTTATGTTACTTTTATTAACTATTTATGGTAAAAATAAAGTATTTCAAAATGTGGCACATTCAAAAGAGTTTTGAAAACATTCTTAGAGTGACTGTGTACATTTATAATTAATTTTTTTATTCTCATCATCATGTACAGGTATTTGCTGTTACTTTTAGAACATAAGTCTAAATGCTGCTGCTTTCTGTTTTTAATTAGTTTACTATTATTTTGTGAATATTTCAGTGTAAGTAATTTGTAGATTTGAGTAACATTTCTTTGATATCATTGGTCATGCACTCCTAAAATTAATTTGTGATTTAATTAGGAGATTTAAATGTTTTATGTAATATATAACCTACCTAGATGTGTAAGATGAACAATATTTAAAGTAGAATTATTGTATAATTCAATGTTTTAAAAATAAATATACATTTATTCTTTGTGCTTTTATCTTGTCAATTCTACATGCCATCATAGTATTTTAGTGATTAGTCTAATTGAGCCAGGTTAAACAATATAGTAAATTGCATAAATAGCCAGGGAAATAAGCTTTTTTTCATGAACCTCATCTGGCCAGGCAAGTGACAGATGTTTTGAGTAGTATGGACCTCTATATCAATAGCCTATATGTTTCCTGCAGTCGATTTTTTGGACTTAATTGATTATTAACAAATTAAGGTCAAAAAAACAATAAGTTTCGCTGTGTTTGTTTATCAGCAAAAAGTAAAGCATGTGAAATAAATTTTAAAAGAGAAGAAACTTATAAGACATAAAAAACTTCAAAATGGCGTTTTCTAAATGTTCCGTTCCTTATTTGTTGCTTAGAAAGTTGCAAAATATGTCAAAAAGTAACTCAAGTAACTGTTGTTACATTTTCGTTTCTTGGCATTTATTTTACAAGTGGTGAGTAATTTTATTGAGTTATGAAAAAGAGCAAAGTTGTCTACTTCAATTGCTTGAGGAAGTAGAAATTGGCACAAAACAACAGGAACATTAAATCAGAGGATGAAGTAGATAACATAGAGGAACATCATTCGGATACTGAACAAGAGGGTGATGGCGATGATTGCAAAGTGGATGTAATACCAGCAAAAGTTTCACGGATTGCTAGATTTATAGGCAAAGATGGAGCAGTCTGGAAAAAACTCTGCCCGGTGCTAATAGTAAGAACTTTTATCTATCTATCTATGTATAAAAAAAACATTTTTTATACATAGATTTGCACCCTATCTGCTAGAGGGCATTATTATTTGAATTTGGAATTTTTGAGGCTTAATCCGTTATTACATAACACGGTCCAATTAATTGTTTGAATTTGTTTTTTTCCTAGGATATTTTAAATATTATTGTTGCAAGTACGAACAAATATATAAATCAAATGAAAGATATGTATAACACATCCCGTTCTGCTAAAAATACTGATGTAATCGAAATAACAGCTTTACTAGGGTTGCTCTATTTAGCTAGGTGTTTGAAAAGTAATTGCTTAAACACAGATGAGTTGTGGGAGCGAAATGGCAGCGGAGTTAAAATGTTTTGGTTAACCATGTCGCTGCAACGTTTTTTATTTTTGTTAAGATTTCTTAGATTTGATGATTTAGAAACTCGAGACGAAAATAAATTGTCTAATAAGCTAGCGCCTATAGATGAAAAACTTCAGGCATTTCGGGGAAGACGCGATTTTAAATGGTATATTCCTTCCAAACCGAACAAATATTTGCCTTAGTTGATGCAAAAACTAGATATACATTAAATCTAGAACCATAGGTTGGTTTACAACGGTAACCAGAGGGACCCTTTCATTTAAAAGATGATCCAGTTAGTATTGTCGAGAGATTAATTGGTCCGATATCGGGTACTGGAAGAAAATTTACGTGTGATACATGGTTTACTATTATTTTAGAAGTAGAAGGTTATATTATTTTTTGGACCCAAATTACATTTTATTGTTTAAATGATATTCATAAAGAAGTAAAGTTAGATAATACAGCAGTATTGTTTTGATTTTCTAATTAATAAATTATTTAATTTTGGGTCTGTCAGACTTGACGCCACTACTGGTGTTCCGATATGGGGCGCCACCAGTGCAGGGTTAAATACTTACTGCTTAACAGGTACATAAAATGTAATAGATTTAATTCGTAAATTGTAAATTCTGTTTTGTTGCAAATATTACATCGAATATTCAATGCACGCTCTTTGCTCTGACCAAAGTTCAGGGTCTATAGTGTAGTGTCTATAAGTATTATAAGTCTAGTGTGGCGTAGACCTTGACCTTATTTGAAGTCACTTAGGAAAAAACTTAGTAGTTATCTCAGATAACTTAAGTCATTTCCGTCAATTACTACCAGTTCATCTACGATTTAATTGATAACAAAGGTACATAAAATGTACTATGAATTACATTAAAAACTATTTCGTCATCTGACAACTGTTTTTTAAAAGTGTTAAAAGTTAGGTTATCGAAATGTTTTCTTCCAGATCTGCAGCATGGCTATTTAAGATAAATAAATTTGGAAACATATATCGATATTCTTCATCGACAAAAAGAGAGTTCAAAGAAATAAAGATAAAAGTGCCTTGGGGATATATAGCTGGAAAATGGTGGGAACCCTATGATTTACGACCTGTAGTAACTATTCATGGCTGGCAAGTAAGTTGAATGTCATGTAATTATACGTTAAACAATATTCTCATGAAAACTATACATAAAAATCATTTAATGAATATGTCAATATTTTACAAATCTACACAACAAACATATTCTTACATAAGTCTAAATTGTAATAAAATGCTTGTGCCTTTTATACTTTATAGTCCCATTTTTGCTCATTATAGATTGAACATTCAATTTAGAGAAGTTTATGTTTTTAAAGATAATAAGACTGTGCATATAATATATAATTACATACAAAACAATTAAAAATTAAAATCATGTTTTAAACTACACATTAAATTTTTTTTTGATTACATTTTAATTCTCCACCACACTAACAGTATGTTTATAATAGGCAACTAACAATACAAAGTTGGTTTTATGCCACAGATAATGTTTTCATACTTATTCACCTTAAAAACATTTTGTGGGCTATTTTTATATCGATGTCAAGTTAATTACTATACAAAATTGCAAAAAACATTTTTTGTACATTTAATAAAGAATTGATTATGTATTGTTCTTTAATAATCTGTATAATAGGCAACTAACAATGCAAAATATAAAAGTTTTCTACTATAACCATCGAGCCGATGACTAACCATCGAGCAAAAAGATAAAAGAGGGAATCTAATCGTTATGAAAAGGAGACCAAAAAAGTGGCCCTTGATGGCGGACATATCCGGAAATGCAAAGGCGCTAAATTTAAATTTTCCAACACTTGTTAACAATACGTAAAATTATTTTTCAGACAAGAAAGCTTTTAATTAAATATTAACGATAATAGTCTAAAAAGTGACACAATTGGTAAAAAACTTCAATATAAATAAAATTTCATGTGACAGTTGGGACAAACAATGACGTATAATATATAGACTACGCAGTCCCCTATTCTCGCTATAGAATCGAGTGTCCGAAAGATCTCGGCTCAAGGTTGAAGGTATGTTTATTAGAACAGCGGCGTGCTCATTTATATGTTAATGACAATAATTATTTTTTTAATTAAAATTAAATATTTATGATTTCTTTTTGTTCCCGTCTATAAGAGAAATAATTATTTTGATAAAATAGTATGGCATTTTACTAAAATAGTAAGTAAATAACTATCAACAATTTAAAATAAAATTTGCTTGTCACACAAAATGGAGTACGTCCATGATGTTTTCAAACACAAGATCAACTTCGTGATGCTTCGTAAGAAATCATGAACTTCGTGCATCTTCGTATCAAAACAATAAACAATAACAAAGGTATTCATGTTTTGGACACTTTTTAAAGCGTTCACCGAGTCTATATATTATACGTCATTGGGGACAAACAATAACATAACCAAACTAAATTTGACTTCTTAAACAAGGAAAGAGACTGTCTTTCCTTGTTTAAAGTGGCCTCTCAAGATAGCACTTCCTGTCTAACAATATTTTTGTCCCCACTACCTTTACATTCCCTCTTTTATCTTTTTGCTCGATTTGACTAACATAGTCACCGGAGGGACCGCAGACGTTCGGATACAATTACGTTCTTAGCAAAGACAATGACGTCGACTTTGCTAAGTATCAAGACAATTACTCTACACACACAACACACACACACACACACTACATTAATAAACTTAACTTGATTGAGACTGGCTGAATTGACAATTGTCCAAGCCAAAAACACACAAAAAAAAAAAAAAAAAAAAAGACTAACATAGTTACAGTTGAGTCCATGGTTCTTTACTCGTGCCCATCGAGCACGATGCTCGTGCCTCAGCATACGAAATACGTCGGAAATTTGCTCCACGCAACAGCAAGTGACAGAAAGTAGCTATTGTCACAGAATAATAAACAATCAGAATGCCCACTCTGCTTGAAAAAAACAAGAACGCACATCTCGTTCCCGCCGACGGAATCAGCCATGTTTTAAACGGAACCAGTGCTGTTTAGTGACATTTTTTCTGGTGTGCATAGATAAATTAACCCAGTTTAATTTATTTACGGCAACTATAGACATAATATGCACTAGTTTATTCGTACTTTTGGTTAAAGAATAGATTCAATTATTTCAAATATACTAAATTATTAATGTCGGAAAATTTCAATTTACATTTCTGTCGTAGCTTGTAGCAATTTTTTAAATTCGAGTCTATGTTTCCGTCTAAAACATGGCGTTCGTGTGCTGACAAACTTCAACGGCGGCATCTGATAGTGGGCATGTTCTATTGCTCCGATCATGGATTATAATATAAAATTTGACTGGCATCAAATAAATAGAATGTAAAATGGTAGTTTTGCTTTAAATTTTCGTGTAAAATTGCAGCTACATTTGAAGTGGTATAATCAATTCTTTTAATATGATTAGTAATTTAATAAATATTTATAAAAGAAATATAATTAAATATAAAATAATATTTACAGTGTGTTGATTTAAGCGGTAAAGCTATTTAAAGAATGAAACATTATTTAGCTCAAATACTATTGTTACAAAATTTTGAACATATGTTTTTCGTTTATCATATTTCATTGAAAAGATGATAACGGTTCCCTATTCTTTTTTCTAATTCAAAGTACTCGATTAAATTTAAAACGAGTTCTTGTGCCTGTGAGGTAAGTTTTTCAGCCATATACCTATTTCTTTTCGATGTACTGAGTCTAGAACGTTCATAAAAATAACGTGTGTCTTTAAACCTTCCGCAACTAACATGGGTTTTCTGGACATTAAAGCTAACATCGGTCTCAGAGACTGACAAAAAAATGTTTCCATTTGCCCAGTTTCAAGCGTAGGATTCTGTTTACTTCTTGAGGAAGTGAAATCAAACAAGAATAATACCTATTTTTAATTTATTTAGCCCAAACAACAATTCACAACAAAAAGAAAATTCAAAACAAAAACGAAAAACTTAAATTTAATTATATCGAGCTGGTTATGGTTATATCATAGTTATTTAGATAACAAAACTGAATAACAAATAAAAACACATAAGAAAAATATTGAAAATATATCCATACATTGTTAAAATCTATCTAGTAAATTCATCGACACATTGAGTACATTTTCACAGAAGGAAGTCACATGTTCTAAGTCTTCCTGCTTTTTTACTGGAATAAACGATTCATCGGTCGTTTGTATTAGCTCTTGAAGGTTCCTCTTCGACCTCGGTAATGTTATGTACTTCCTGAATTCTCAGTTTAAATGTTCTGGGTACACCAATGAGGTTAGTGCGCTTTCTCACGTGTGCTTCATCTAATTGGTATTCAAGATCGTCCAAAAAATTTCTTTTTTCTATTTTTTTTTCTGTTGAATTATTGTCAAATATAACAAATGAGTTAATACCCTCTATATTTAACAATTTATAAAAAATCACCATTGGCCAACGTCTTGTGATTCGTGCATAGTTATAAGCTGCACTCAATTTGTCGACCATGTCCACACCTACTTTCGTCTTGTTATAATCAAAAATTATATCTGGTTTGCCGGTCTTTATGCCTATTTCATCATCACGGTGCATTGTTTTTTCTTCAAATACAAAGATAATAGATTTTTTAGTCCTATTCATTTTCATTTTGAGTTTGAGATTTGTTTTTCCTAAGAGTTCCAATTGTCGTGAGTCCATGATCGTTCCAAAGTTTATCCGCTAAAACAGTGCTCGTAAAAAAATGATCCATCGTTACATTATGTTTGGATCCCATATAGGTTGACATAATCTTGGCGCTAAGGAAGTATTAGAAGTATCCTGCTCATACGGCCGCTATTGACTGTTTTCCGACATATGCCTCTATTTTTGTCGTATAAACCATTTTAGCGTCAGCTATAAAGTATATCTTCAAACCATACCTATTTGGTTAGGATGTTATATATACCCTAAATCCACACCGATCTCTAAATTCCCATATCACATCAACTGTGGTGTACTGTGAAATAGAGAATTTGAGTCACAAATGACATTTCTATGTCCTCATAGTACAAACTAACTGCTAAAAGATATTCTAACAATAAATTTATAGAAGTATTTTGTTCAATAATCAATAATTGGTTAAAAGTTAAACTATGGTTGCCCAAAATAAAATTTGACATTTTTTTCAATTAAGTGTACTATTGTTTATATAATTTAATTTTAGGATAATTGCCAGTCATTCGACAGACTAATAACCTCTGCTTAACAAAAATGTAGGCTTTCTAGCGATAGATTTACCAGGACATGGTTACTCATCAAAACATCCTGAAGGAATGCTTTACCATATGGCAAATTATTTACTGGTCATTAAAAGCTTATCAAAAACCTTTGAATGGCCGAACACATCATTGATGGGACACTCACTCGGAGCAGTCACATCATATATTTATTCAATGCTCTACCCCTCGGAAGTAGACTATTTGATATGTTTAGATGCAGCTAAACCCATGGTCAGTAAAAAACAACCAACCAGCATTATGCGGCAGCACTCGAAAAATTCTTCAAATATAATAAATTTCTTGACTAGTGGAGAACCTCCCAGTTATACCATAGAAGAAATAGCGAAATTAGTCTCAACAGCCCATAAACATTCTATTTTGCCCGAAAATGCGAAATATATCTACGAAAGAAATATAGCTCCTTCTGAAGTCAATCCAGGTAAGATATAGGTGTAGGCAGTAACAGCTTTTTTTCTTAAGTGTTAGGTTCTCCTATAATATCGACACTGCTTCTTAGGAATAATGACCTGTTAACATTAATATAGATTCGTATCTTTGAGGAATTTTAGCAGTTTATATACTTACTCTTGTACTCTCTTATCCATTCTTCCCTGTTATTGGCTCGCTGCCGCCATCGTCGGTTTCCAATCTCCTCAGGCCGTCCTGTACGACGTTGTCTATCCATCTGAGTCGGGGTCTTCCTCTTTGCAGCAGTCTGTGGTTCATGATTTCTCATTAACCTCCATGAAACATGTTTCTCCCCCTTTCCTTGTCCATGTCTAGCCGTTATATAGATTTTTTAAATATACTTATTAACCATTGTATTCCTTAGTCATCCATAAGTTTTACAAATTTTATACAAAATTTGTCAGGCCCTATAACTTGGCCCTACGAGGAATTTCTCTTGTATCTTGTGACATTTATGTCTTGTGAAGATTCTAGGGAACTTTTCAAGTTATTGTTCTGTATCATGTGCTTTAATAACGTTGTGCATGTTCTTGAATGATGCTTTACATTCTGTTTTATGTGTTTGTCCATGAGTGTGCTTATATCGTTTTTTTAAACAGAATTTTATTCTACCAATCAGTGTGTTATGGTCTGACTTGATGTCGACTCCTTGCCATATTATGACTAATGTTATGGAGTTACGGAATATTTTATTAATCATAATTACATAATCTATTTGACTCACTGTATGGTACGGAGTATCCTGAGGATCTCCAGGTGTATAATCGTCTGTGGTAGGACTTTGAAATCACAAACTTTGTTCTGTTGCAAAATTAAACCAGCTGGTCTCCCATAACTATAATTAAAGTTAGATCTTTTCTATTGGACGGAAGGTGTCGATGGTTAGATGTTTCATCTGGTTGATGACTAACAGAAGGCATTGCTTTTTGTAGATTGTTTCTTCGCTAGTTATCCGATACCTGTGATCAGTAACATATGTTCTATGATGGGTCACAGCCATTAATTATACTGCGGCTACTCTATCTATGTTCCCTGTTTCTTTGATGCTTTTTTTCCAATTTCTCAGTCTCAGGACAAAAGAATACCCTTCTACTCACCAGTTCGTCTGCTCGGAGCATATTTGGTCTTCATTTGTATAGAAGATTGCTTTTTCGATACTATTATTGAGCGTAATGCACTGAACCTCTAAAAATCATATGAACAAGCGAATTTGCGAGAATGTCAAATTTGGACCTCAAAGATGCAAGAATGTTTGCCTCTCCTACCCCTGGGCTTCCTCCTTAAACTACCCTAGTAGCTGACATAATTTTGTACAAAAATGCAATTTTTTATATTTTCATAAGACCAACAAAATATATCACTTCCATTGATACAAGATTTTATTTAAAACATTGATTTCGCGCATGTACATTTTTGTTAACATATCAGCTACATTTACTACATTAACAGTAATTTGTCGTTTTCAGGGAAATTCTATTTCACCAGAGATCCAAGACTGAAGACTGGTTCCTTTAGCACATATTGTCAAAGAGATTTGGTTGAGTTAGCCCAACTGATCACTATGCCTATTTTTATAGCAAAAGCCAAGGATTCGGTTTATTACGAGGACAAGGAAAACTTTTATGAAGTTATGGATGTTGTAAAAAGATCAAGTTCCGATTTTGATTTTAATTATGTTTCTGGTAGTCACCACGTGCATCTAAACCATCCAGAAAATGTTTTTCCCGGTTTAATCAATAATTTTCTTAGGAAAAATAGCGTAAAAGATAGAAGTAAGGGTGGCATTATCGAAGACATAATTGTAAATAATGAAAAAAGGATAGAGAGTACCTAGAAAAACGATGTTAAGAAGCAGTTCCGAAAATAATAAGGCTGCAAAAGTTGTTTATCAATAAAAACAAAAAACTTCAACTGCCAATTTGGTGATTGAAAGAATGGTGTTAACTATTCGATAACCAAGGATATAACAAAAGAACAAATTAAACAAGAAACCATAATTTGTAAATAGTGACAAAATAAATATAATTTATTAATATAATTATATGTATTTTCAATTTATTAAAATATTTATTTTGACATCTGTTGTTTTTTTTTGGCCTTAGGTTCAAGACCTATTTAGCCAGACAATTGGTTGAATACTTAAAAACAATTAACTCTTACACTTCCTTTAAATTCATGACAGTTTCCTAACCGTTCATTTATTCACTCAATCTCCTAACGATGGTGATGTGAGAATTGTTTGTAGAATTTGGTCTGAGAAGCAAATGCCTGAAGAATGGAGCTTAGGCATTAATTGCCCGATACGCAAAAAGGGAAACCAACTGGAATGCAATAAATACCGCGGAATTAACTCTCCTAAATACAGAATACAGATATTGGCAAACATTTTGCAGAGAGATGAAGCGCTTGTACCGAAAAGTTTATAGCAGAATATAAGCCAAGGAGATCAACAATAAACCAGATCTTTACACTACGACAGATCGCGAACCAAGCGTTTAACATATATATCATCAATTATTTGTGGATTTAAATCAGGCTTGTCCGAGTCTTAAGCCAGAGCGTGGCTTTACAACGACTTGTTATGGTTAGGAATCGCCTCAAAAGAAGAATTATTGTTGCCTTACCCTTTACCGAGTCATCTGCAGCAAGCTGTTCGCTAGTTATCAGCAGTAACAAATCTTTGTAATACCAAATAATATCTATCGCGTTGCAACCCGCGCGCATAATGGAACTACTTAACGGGGGCTAGTTGCCTGGAAATGATCTCGCTGCAGACGTTCTTACCGTTTAACGCTATTTTCGAATGTCGCTAGAACAAGCAGGCAGAGGGTGTTGTGTGTGTTGGTCTGATTTAGGACGAGCGCAGCCTTGGAGAGGGGATGTAGTATTGTCGCTATATGGGGGTAGTACTGGATATGTACTTATGTAGCATACCGTCCAGAAATTCTTAGCGCGCATAAATCCATGAGAGTGCGGAGTTAGTGGTACTCTTTTTTATTAGACAAGAGAGGACTGAAAATGGGTTTGCAGAGAGTGCTCGCAAGAATTGCCGGGATATAATATTTATTATTAATGGCGTAGAGGAAGCTGTGGTGTTATTTTGTTAATGTAGTATGCTATTGGTGTTATGTGTTTGTACCAATCTAGTTGTGAATTGACTTATATTAAGAATAGAGACGAAAAATAACGACATTCTTCATGGAGCTGTTAATAAGATACTCGTCACTAATGTTTTATAGAGTCAGCATGTTGTTCATTGTTTTATCTTAAGGTATGCGGTTGATAGCCGACGGGTGATAGATGGGCTTTGTAGGAATAGGTGATGTCCGATATTGGCTTACAACTGTCTACTATGCATAGACAAGTTGGTGATGTGATGAGTAGGTGTATGCCTCAGAGGTGCTCTCTCAACAGATTACTGTCTCGATACGAAGTCCTAGGGTCCTGGAGAATAAGCCTATACTAAGAAAGGACAGATTGTTATATAATAGCTTTAATAGTCGTACTGTCACGCCACGTTATTCCGGGATAGAAACTCTCGTTAAAACACCGGGTAACAATCCGTATTTTATCTGGGAGTTTGGTCAGCCTGTTTCTATGTGATGCCCAGATCTTCGATGGTAGTCTCATTTCCTCTCGCTGACTGGTAATATTAGACACTGATCTGAGATAATTATGGTACAAATGATAACAACTGAATTCCAACCCTCTAACTCTCTGAGAAGTGTCCACGATTTATAATTCATTGATTAAAACATCTCAATAAAAAGGAACGGTATAATAGTAGAAGAAAATTCGATGCATTTTTTGAGCGACCCAATAGGACAGTAGTGAGATATAGTTTCTTTTCTTTAATTGTTATCTGTATTTGACAAAACTGATATGTATAAGTTGTTGATAATTAGAGGGACAAGAGCATGGGATTGATAGACTCGGTGTCTTGCTGTGTAGAGGATGTGGGCGCAAGTATGATCTGCGCCAACCGGAGAGTAAGAAATTAATATATGTAAGAATCGTGGTCGAAATATCTCCGACTGGCGAGTAGTTTTTGTATTACGTCAAAGTTCGCATCAACTAAATTACTCTATCCATTGACTTAGCCGAATGTCTCAAGGTGGGGAGCTACGCGAAGTGTTTGATTAGTTGTCGCGTCGCGGGTGTGTGGATGGAGATGGGTGTACTATGAAAGTATTAATAATCACCACTAACTAAGTCTTTGAGCGTCGATGCTCTTAATAATTTTATTGAAAGGTATATTTGTATAGTCTTTCTCTGACATGATATAAAATAAGCAGACCCTCAAATATATATACATTAGTATGAAACATAACTGATACCGTCCTGTATCTCTTTTCATCCACGAACTCTCATGTTTATGATCACTCATTCACTATTGATAAATATCTCTTCTCTCACACGTGTTCCGCGCTCGGGCGGCTGTGGGGGCGTGGCGATTGGGCAGTGTGTAGATGGGGGCTTTGAGAGATAGTGTGGAACGCGGGGAGTTGGGTGGTGTAGGAATTTTCCATCTGTTTCGATCTTCTGCCTCTTGCATCAAATTCCTATGGCAACGTTTTATAGCGTCAGTCTAACGTGTTGGTACACGACCATTGCTCCAAGACCTGCCCAGTTCCACTCAAGTATTGCTATTCTTTCTACAGCATCAGCGACTTCTGATCTAAGAAGTGTGTCTAAAATTATTCAATTATATCATTAATAGTTCATCTGCGTTCATTCTGCTCTGTTTCTAGATTGACAACTAATTATTTTTTGATTATGTTTCTTCTTTAAACATTACTGCTTTTGTTTTCCTGTTTTTCTATTATTTGTTTTGTTTTTTTTCTCAGTTCCTCTTTATAGGTTCCTGCAGGCACGGATATACAGCATAAATTCTGCTTGAAAGATAGTGAAGTGATTACCTAGGCTTTCCTTAAGGCTTAACCTTAGCTTCCCTCCGTATATTCCAGCTCTAATTCAGCTACTACAGCTTACGTCTTATGTTTCTCTGTCCCATCGCTCTCGTGGCAGATGTTTATTTAAAAAGGTACTTTAGGCATGTACCTGGGTATAATATGGCCAGAAGTAATTGTCCTCAGCATTACTTTTAGTATTAGTTCCTGCAGACACGTATATATAGCATAAATTTCTCCTTGAAAGATAGTGGAGTAGACTTTCCTTAAGGCTTAACCTTGGTGTCTCTCCGTATACTCCAGCTCTAACTGAGCTACTGTAACCTACGTTGTGTGTTTTCTCTTCCACATCGCTTTCGTGGCAGACGTCCACTTGGAAAGGTACTTTAGGCTTGTATCTGGGTAAAATATGCTCAGAAGTAGTCATCTTCAGCATGTAGTGTATTAATAAATAGCTACTAAACAGTAACAAACAAAAAAATGTTACAAGTGGTTCATTGTGGCACACAAAGAATAAATAAAACAATCAGCAAGTCATAATAAAACAACATATTTTTCTCAACGAATATAATATTGTTTGATTTAGGTAAAATTTGAAGGAAGACTAAAGCCTTTTTGTTTTTACATGCAAGTGGGCGCTGGTGAGATTATTTTATGTTTCTAGTGACAACAACGCCATCTCCAGATCAACCGGAAATTGGACTATTCCCTAGTGCACGGTACATTTTACTACTAAAATTAATACTATTTCATAAAGGAAAGTATTTTTTCTTTCAGATGTTTATTAAAATATTAAATATCTTCACTTTTTCTACTGGTATTTGTGGTTTTAATTGGATTTTCTGTTCATCAAAAAGTGTAAAGTTCTTCTATAGTTATCTGTTTTTATGGTTTTATTCTGCTTTCCCTTCTGACTCATTCCTTTCTTTATGATCATTATCAGTATTCATTATTCAATTTTCGTTTGACAGTATTCCTCTTGTTAATTTTTGTGACTGTTGTTTTTTGCGCGTAGTCTATTCGTTATTGTAAGATGCAATAAAATCATTACAATTCTTTTTACCTCTTAGTTTTTCATAATAACATTTAAAACTTAAACACTTACTTGCATAGTAGTTTGAGTACCAGGTGGAGCTATAACGCTGGCATAGGACGCCATGCATGCAAAACTTAATCCAACATCTATCCCATTGAACAATTCAACAGGCAGGAACCACCAAGGATTTGAGATCACAGTATATAGGGTAAATCGTATTCCTATGCCCAGTATAATCAACGACATAGCGTTGTTATGGCTATAGTAGAGAAAATCTTTCCTGATAAAAAGAAAAACGGAATCTCACCTAGGATGGTCTCGACTGTCTAAAAATGATATAGTTAGAAACTTATTTGAAAATAAACGGTATTTATGTATTGAGGACAATGGGTGTACCTAAACACTTGACTCACCTTATTAGCAAACTGTATCAAGATAACCTGGCATATATTCGAATGGACGGATATCTGTCTGACAAATGCACTTTGGAGAAGGGAGTACGCCAAGGATGCGTTTTATCTCCCTTATTATTTAACATATATTCGGAGTTCATAATGCGCAGAGTTTTGGATGGTTGGGAGGGAGGAGTAAACCTAGGTGGTGTTAAGATATCTAACTTGCGTTTCGCAGACGACACTACACTTCTAGCCTCTACTCCAGAAGAAATTACTAAATTATTAAAAAAGCTCGAGGTAGAAAGTGCTAAATTTGGACTCATGGTTAACTACAACAAAACCAAAATCATGGTTATTGATCGCCAACAACAGTTTCCTGAAACCCAAACTATTGCGGGATGCGAGGTAGTCTCATATAGGATATATCTTGGAGCTCTAGTTAACAACACAGGCAGTTGTGAATCCGAAATTAGAAGACGCATTCAACTAGCAAGAGCAGCAATGAGTGAACTAAACGGGGTCTGGCGTGATCGTCACATTACTATGACAAACAAAAAGAGACTCGTTTCAACTCTGGTCTTTTCCATATTTTACTATGCATGCGAGACATGGACAGTCAAAGAATCAGATCGACGACGTATAGACGCCTTTGAAATGTGGACATGGAGACGCCTGCTTCGAATTCCATGGACGGCTCGCCGTACAAATATCTCGGTTCTGGATGAAATTAAACCG